AATGAAGTATTACTCATGGAAAACTGGAATGTTTTAGAATACTGCCTCAAGGGTCACCGTATAAGAAAAGTTTAAGTGTGTCTGTATCTGTATGAGACATTCCCAAGCCTAGGGAGTTAGGATTTCCCCTGCAACCGTAGGGCTAAGCTGAGTTGTCCACAAACAGAAAGTGAGTTTTGATGTCTGTGCCCAGTTAGTCCACAATGTGTTTAGTATTCATATTGTGAAGTTCACTTTTTAGTTTGAATTAGGATACTGAGGCCAGGATCAAATCTTCAATCTTTAATATCAGTCTTCAATATCAAAATCTATTTCTGGACTCTGGGTTGGGCCGGGTAACAGCTGTGTGTTAGATCCAGTGTTTGTGTTGAATAGAAGATTGCAGTTATCTAGAGTTATCCAATGTATAGATAGATTACCTAAAATATTTTCTAAATCACTTAATCTACCTTTGGGGTTTGATTTATTTGTCATTTTTATGAAGGAAGCATACTGTCTGTGGTAGGCAGAATAATGGCCCCTCCCAAGATGTCGGCATCCTAACTCCTGAACCTGTGAATATCTTTTAAAAAAAAAGTGGAAGAGGGAGGCGGGAGAGTCAGTGTCAAAGTGATACAATGTGACAAGAGTCAACTGGTCCTTGCTGGCTTTGGGGATGGAGGGAGGGACCCTGAGCCAACGAATACAGGCAGCTTCAAGAAGCTGGAAAGGTCGGGCGCCTGGGTGGCTCAGTTGGTTAAGTGACTGCCTTCGGCTCAGGTCATGATCCTGGAGTCCCGGGATCGAGTCCCGCATCGGGCTCCCTGCTCTGCAGGGAGTCTGCTTCTCCCTCTGACCCTCCCCCCTCTCATGTGCTCTCTCTCATTCTCTCTCTCAAATAAATAAATAAAATCTTTAAAAAAAAAAAAAAAGAAGTTGGAAAGGTCAAGGAAATTTATTCTCCCCTAAAGCTTCCAGAAAAGAACATGGCCCTGCTAACATCTTGATTTTATTTTTTTTCATTTATTTATTTAAAAAAAAAATTTTTTTTAAAGAAAGATTTTATTTATTTATTTATTTGACAGAGAGAGAGAGAGAGAGCGAGAGAGGGAACACAAGCAGGGGGAGTGGGAGAAGCAGGCCTCCCGCGGATCAGGGAGCCCGATGCGGGGCTCGATCCCAGAACCCCGGGATCACGACATGAGCCGAAGGCAGACGCCCAACGACTGAGCCACCCAGGCGCCCCTAACATCTTGATTTTAGCCCAGTGAGATCTGTACCAGATTTCTGACTCAAGAACTGTAAGGAAATAAATTTGTGTTTTAAGCCACTAAGTTTGTGGCAATTTATTAGTAGCAGCAGTAAAAAAAAACCCAAAAAAACTAACTGTTCTGTGTATGGAAGTTAAAATAGGTGCAGATCTTTAAATATCTTGATTTAAGCTCTGAGTCATTCTGAGGTAACAGACCGTGGGTTACAGTATCTTGTTCTAAACTGTTACTTTTATCAGACTGTCCATTAAAACATTACGTGCTGAATGGACTCCCTTGGCACCGTTACCTCGTTTTGCACTTGGCCCATCAGTTTTAGAACTGTGCATTCCAGTCTCAGTTTCCATGGAGATCCCACCTGACTGGAAACAAGCATCTCTAATGGCATGTCAGAGCTGCCATTAATGAAGTTACCATAGAACTGGGCTAAAATGTTTGAGTGTGAACACTCAGGGGAAGTGAAACTTGAAAGCAAATTTAAATCAGTTTGAGAACAGACAGGAATCGGGAAGTTCGTGATGTAGAGGGTGTAACGTTTTGTGAGATCTAACAGTCTGTACATCAATTGAAGAAACAGTATTTTCACACGTTCCCTAACTCATGAAAAGTATTAGATGGATTTCTACTCGAGTTCACTTGTACAGCTGCACTGGTTGGTTCAATAGCAACAGGATTTATGATTTTTTTTTTTTTAAGATTTTATTTATTTATTTGACAGAGAAAGACACAGCGAGAGAGGGAACACAAACGGGGAGTGGGAGAGGGAGAAGCAGACTCCCTGCCGAGCAGGGAGCCCGATGTGGGACTCGATCCCGGGACTCCAGGATCATGACCTGAGCCGAAGGCATTCGCTTAACCAACTGAGCCACCCAGGCGCCCCAGGATTTATGATTTTTGAAAGAGATCAGCCCTTCTTCAGAGAGTGCCTCTGGATCTGGGCCAAAGATCGGGGTTCTAATAGCAACGTGTGAATGATGTGGCAGGACCTGATTATCCGTGCCTGCTGCCACGGGCTGCACCCTCAGGAGTGTGTGTCCTTACAAAAATAGGCATGTGGCTACTGCATGGGTGGGCCTTGGAAACATCATGTGAAGTGAAAGAAGCCATCACAGAAGACCTACACGTAGCATGGGATTCCATTTGTGAAATGTTCAGAACAGGTGAATCTGTAAGGATAGGTGATTGCCCTTGCTCAAGGGGCTGGGGGAAGGGTGCCTGCTAATGAATATGGGGTTTCCTTGGGGGATGATGAACATGTTTTAAAATTGATGTGTGGTTTTGGTTGTACTATGCTGACCATACCCCACACTGTTACACGGCACACTTTAAAATGGATGAATTGTGTGGTATGTGAATTATATTTCAGTAGAGCTGTTAAAAAAAAAAAAAGTAGGCATGTGAGGGAACTGCTTGACACACGTATGTGAATTATATTTCAGTAGAGCTGTTAAAAAAAAAAAAGTAGGCATGTGAGGGAACTGCTGACACACAGCTTGACCACAGCAATGTTGGGATCTGGTAGAAGCAACTTCTGAGAGTATCGTAGAGGTGTTGTCTCTGTTTTCTGGCACTGGCGCTGTAAGAGGCACAAGAGGCTTCTTTCTGAAGCTCATCTTTCTCGGAGGTCAGTTTTAGGGATTGGTCTAACAATCAGTGACTCAGTGGTTTTCTTAGACTACTTCCGCCCTTGTTTGGAGACTTCCATTTTTCCTTTTCTTACTGGGTGGGTCTGTGGTCCTACAGGGATCACGACCAGTTTGGTAGCTGCGTGCCCGCCATGCAGTTCCTGCTGCAAGACAGCGCGTGCGCATGGGGAGGTCCTGCCGCACTTCTTCAGGTGCCTGTTTCAAGATTTTATTTATTTATTTGAGAGAGAGAGAGGGAGAAAGATGTGTGAGCGGGGGGAAGGGCTGAGGGGGAAGGAGAGGGAGAGGGAGGAAAAGAATCTTGAGCAGACTCCCAGCTGAGATCATAACCTGAGATGCCAGCCAGAGTCTGACCTTCAACCGACTGAGTCACCCAGGTGCCTCTCGACGTGTCTTGTTCAAGTCCCATTCAGCACCATATGAATTGCTACACTTACAAGAATGGGGATTCTTTTCAGGGTGCGTTTCCTAAAATGACAAAACTAAGAAAATGGTCTGTCAGGGCCTCTAGAATATCCTTCTTCACTTGGGCGAGTAGTAGAATCTTGGTACTGTTCTGCCATCTTTTCTAGCTGGAGGATTTGCTGAAAGCCTCCTGCAGGTGTGGCTCTTCCCTAGTATGTAGGGCTGTTGGGGAGGTCGTTCGTTGCTGCATGGACACAGAATATACAGGTTGCTGGTATAAGTCAGCTTGCTCACTGGTGGCGGGCCCAGCTTTCAGGCCCCTGCCACTAGAGGCATGGCCAGGGGCACCCACTGTCCCTCAGCCATCCTGGAGGCCCTGTGGGCCTGAGGAGGCTTGGCAGCAGTGGCTTCCTGTGGTGGGCAGAGCACCCGAGGCCAGAGTTACGGTCCCTGCTGCTTCCGGCACTGTAGCCTTAGGGCTCACTCCTCTTAGTCTGTTCCCTGGGGCTCCTTGGTGCTGCCTAGAGTACCAAGGAAAAGGGATGAGTTAATCCTCAGGACCCAGGCAGGCAGTTAATTATTCACAAACGTCTTATTGATTGCCTTCCCTTCCATTCACAAAATCTCTCGGCCAAGGGCATTGTGCTGGTTACTAGAGAAGAGGTTAAAGTGCGTGAAGATGGATAAGCCTGTAATCTAACCAAGAAAAGAAAATAAAGCTCTGACTCTACAGAAAATAAGTCTTTGGTAGGTGTGTGTGATGAAGTGGCCTGTTTGGAGAGCAGAGTAAGAGCCCCTTGAGGTGGGCTCCTGGAGCGCCTGCGCGCCTACGTGAGCAAGAGCATAGACCAGAGAAGCCCGGGACTGGACAGGTGGTCTGATACAGCTGCAGCTTCAGATGCGCGGGCTGGGGGGGTGGGGTGGGGGGCTTCTCGGCAGAGTGGCTGGAAAGGCAGGGTGTTGCCAAGCTGCAGAGGATTTTAAATGCCAGGAGTACTTGTGTGACATGGGTCTGCTCTGCCCCCAGCAGTGTTATTGAACGCCTGCTGAAAGCTGGACACTGCTAGGTGCTAAGCTTCAGGGGAGCTCTGAAAGGTGGGTGTAGGCGTTCTTATTTTACAGATGAAGAAACTGAGTCAGACCAAGTGCTCTGCCCCAGGTCACAGAGCTAGGAAATGCTAAATTGAATCATCCTCTGTGTTCCAGCTGCTGTGCTAGGTTTGCCCTCTCTGTGGAGAGACGAAACTCTTGCATGAAATATGAAGGCAGTGTGTCATTAACTGTTAGGTTGAGTCACATGCAAGTGCCATGGGCGTGGGTCAAAATGGTCAATACCAGCAATGTCCTATGGTTCTATCTAGCAGTTGGGGCTCAGAGAAGTGAGAAAGCTCTTCGGCAGGAATGGTGAGCAGAGGTTTCATGGAGGAGGTGGGAACTGAACAAGACCTTGGTGTAGACTCTGAGTGGCTCGAAGTGAGAAAGTCAGGCAAGAGGTGGAGGTGTGGAGGCCAGCCTCACAGGCTGGCAAGTGACTTGGGGACATCTATCAGAGGACACATATGTGGGCCTTAGGATCCCAGAGGTCTTGCAGTCCATGCTCCGGGCCCTAAGGAGACAATTCATATTTGACCCATGGCTTTCTCGGTGGGTTTGGTTGTGAGTTCTGCTCCTCTTTTCCCTGTGTGTGCTCTCTCTGTAGGAAACAGGTGAGCAGATTGCCATCAAGCAGTGCCGGCAGGAGCTCAGCCCCCGGAATCGAGAGCGGTGGTGCCTGGAGATCCAGATCATGAGAAGGTGAGGACCCCACACACCAAGCCAAGACAGGTGGGGGGGACGAGGAGAATGCAGCAGCTGCGGGGCTGTGGGGCATTGCAATGAAATCTGGAGGGAGCCCTCTGAGCTTCGGGATCTGGACCAACAACCCCACCTGCTGCATCTGGAAAAGAGAGTCCTAAATCTCAGTCCCTCAGTCAGGATAACAGATGACTTCTAGAGGAGTGGCCCTTAGTGTCCAACTCTGGGCTTTTGGTCAGCTTTATTTCTTATATTAAATAATTTAAGATAGCCATCACAGTGACTTGTCCTTTGTCACAGCAGAGATCCTTTTTTTTCCCTCCTATATTTCCGATTCCAAGATGGTATGTGCCTCTCCACTGCTGTAAACTGATCGAAGATACTTATTCCTCCAGTGTGGAGACAGGGACTGTGAGGCCCTGCCTGGGTGCTGTCCTCCCAGGTAGTGAGGGGTTTAAGTAAGCATTTAGGTAAACTAGCAACCTAGTTGTTTTGCAAGACCTCAAACAGGTGCTCCCTCCGTAAACCTCTTAAAACACACACATACACACACGTACACACACACACATCCCCCCCAATCCCTGCTTGAATGGCCTGAGATTGGAAGTCCCTCTACTTTTTCTGCTTTTACAAGCAGCTTCAAAGTACAGTGAGGACTTGATATGGGCACTCTAAAGAAACTTAAGTTGCACATGAGGCACTCACAGTCCTTGAGCTCATGGTGCTGAAAGTAGAGCTGGGTGGATGCTAACTGACCCGGCACCGAGGTAAGTAGCCTGTGCCTGACCTCTGTCCTCCTGTTTATGCCGGAGGGCCCTCGGCTTGTCTGGGCCTTCGTTGTAAAACGTAAAATGGACAGAGGGGGGATTGGGTTTGAGCCAGATCCTGGGTTTTTCCCTCATTGCTGTCTCCTTCCTAGGCTGAACCACCCCAATGTGGTGGCTGCCCGGGACGTCCCCGAGGGGATGCAGAACTTGGCTCCCAATGACTTGCCCCTGCTGGCCATGGAGTACTGCCAGGGAGGAGATCTCCGAAAGGTGAGGCTTCCAGGGTGGCGGGGCGCAGCCTGTCTGGGCAGGAAGCAGCGGGGACACCGTTCGCCCCTTTCCTCACCCAGAAGCTCGGGCAGCCGTGGTGACTTCAGTGGGCTTGCTTTTCCTTCTCAGATCCCCCTCTTCCATGCTCAGGGTGGGGCGACGTGTGTGATGTGAATCAAGAGACTGAATCAGAAGCTCTTACGGGAAAGCCAGGGAGGGGCTTGCTGTATGTATGTCCTGCACGGTGATTACTAAAATGACAAGAAAAAGTCACCAGGTTTTGAGGATGGGGAAAGACTGGACCAGTTCCAAAACAAACTTTCCTTCCCTGGGCATGTTAGGGCCACCGGCTGTCCTTCAGCGTCCAAGTCACCACTGTCCTTATTAGGAGGGCTTTTGTCCCCAAATGTGGCAGCACTGCAGACAGGGTCACAGAGTGGAGCAGGAAGGGAGCTGGCTTAGTAATCAGGGAACTGGGCTGATGTTCCAGAGCCACCACTGACTCATCATCTGGGCATTCGTCCCTCTAGTGCATTCACTTCTCCTTACTAGAGCATGTACTTCAGGGTGGGTGACATCAGCCCTCCCTTGTCTTGGGGACGGTCGTGTCTGGCCCCCTCCCCAGTGTTACGAAACAGGATCATACAACCTGCTTTTATACTTGGCCTTGTTTGATTTTCAGCATCCCTGTGATGCTGGTATAACACGATTCCCATGTGAAGGATGTAGATCATGGCCCAGGATGGTGAGGTGGATTCCAGGCCTCACACAGCTACAGTGGCAGAGCTTGGGTCACAGCCCATGGGAAGCCAACTGCAGGCCACCTCTCCATCTAGGACACTGAAGAATGCCACATGGTATGAGGCAAAATAAAAGTCGTCTCTGGACAACTAAGTTGTTTTTGTATTGAAAAAGAGGTTGCTCTGTTAGTGCTCATCTCCCTGAACTCTTCCCTCTAGAAGAAGGGTCACGATATTTTGGGGGGGGCGGGGAGGCAGGATACCCCAGCATTTCTCTGTTTGGCAGTTTCCTGGACCCAGCATCATGTGCTGTTTCCATTACTTTTTTTGGCCCCTTCCGTCGTCTTTTTGTAAAGGAAACTTTCCGCAAGGGTTGATCTGCCTGAGTGGCTTTCTCCTGCCATGGGAGATAGGCGGGTCAAGGGAGTGGTGCAGCAGGATGTGAACAGTCATTGGCACGACCTACAAGCTGGGCACTGATAATGGATGAGAAATGGGGAACTTGATAGTGCTTCAGTTTTCCTCTTTATTTTCCTAACCTTTGACAATCATCTGATTACTAAATGCAGTTATTTAAAATGGGAGCTAGAGTCGTGTTGTTGCAGTTGAGTGAGTGGTTCTTAGAGGGCAGCGTGGGAGTTGGTGGGCTGTGACCTGATTACGGAGGGCTCGGAAGCCCGGCCGGGAACTTGAGACTTGATCGTGCTGGCCGCGGAGAGCCAGTCAGCCAGGGAAGAAGATGACGCAAACTGCAGCGTGATTGACCTTGCATGGGGCACAAGATGATCTGGGGAGGGCGGGCAGCCCTTGCCCTGTAACGGGCCTTTGTCTGTGGGGTCCCCCCACAGGGGGTGGGCAGTGCAGGGAGGGCGCAGCTGCCCAGAGCACCTGAGACCTCTGTTCTCTCTCTGTTCCAAATGAGGTAGCCTGTCTTTCCCCCCCCTCAAGAGTTCAAAGCCTACTCCCCTGCGCACCGAGAGACCAGCTTGGCAGCACGTGAGCAAATGTAGAAGCCAAAACTGACTGAGTGAAGTCTGTATGTCCAGCTCAGGAAACGGGCTCTTCGACGTTCTTGGATATAAATATTAGTTAATGGCTATAACCCTCAGCTGGGAAGTTATTTTCTCCACTGTTTTCATTTGAGACCAGCCGCCAGCAGCATATTCAGCCAGGGCCAGGAGGGCAGAGGGGGCAAGTGTTTGAGCTCAGGCCTCAGCTAGACACGGCTTCATATTCCAGGACTGTGCTGGAATGGCTGTGTGAGCAGACCTCACGGAACCTCTCCAGTCTCAGGCTCCTCACCTGTGAGGTGCAAATTCCGACAGTATTTCCCTTGGTGGCAGTGGGGGGATGGATGAAATGAGACAACGTAGGTAGAGCTTCACTGAGCTAAACCGTGTAGAGGTTTGCCGGGTCCCAGGCTCATTAAATATTCCTCACTACCATCATCACCCCACTGGCCACGTTGGGGAAGCGGTCAGAGCGTGGTGTGCAGCGAGTGCCTTCCACCCTGCCCTCTTTGGGACACAGGAGCAGTGGTCCCACTGTGGTGGAGCATGGCCTCTGGCCTGCCTCCCTCAGAACTGCGGCTCAGGTGAGCCTGAAAAGCCCTCCTCTCAGAAGGACTCAGACACCTCACCTGTGAGTATGTGAGCTCTTCTGGGAGTTCTCACTATTGCTTCCTCCTTCCCTGCCCAGGCCACCTATTAGCCCACATCCCCAAAGCCCAGGGCTGGGGTGAGCACTCAGATGACTTCAGCTGGGAAAATCACACTGTGGGCTTGTCGGTGGTCAGGGACCGCTCACTCTGATGCTTCTTCTCACCTTCTTGACAGTACCTGAACCAGTTTGAGAACTGCTGTGGCCTGCGGGAAGGAGCCATCCTCACCTTGCTGAGTGACATTGGTAAATCCCAGCCCTGGAAGTCAGGCTGTGCCCTCCGGGGAGAGTCTGTGGTGCGCCTGTGAGTCCTGGCGGAGCACAGAGGGGAGCTATTTTGGTCCTCCGTTCCCTCCAGAGGGTGGGGTTGAGGGGGCACAGACAGAATGGGGAGGTCAACAGGGGACTAGCAGGCAGGTGCTGAACTCAAATAGATTTCTCTTCCTTCCGGACTAGGTCATGAAGTGAATTGTGGTGTATATAGAATAACAGATTTCCTTCCCATTAAAAAGCTCCACTCCCTACTTTCCTGGAATGGCCAGCAATGGAATGGGTTGTCATTTGAATGAATTTCATCCCTTGGCAACTAATTTTTCCACTTCTACATTGGCAGTTCTTTTGCCAATTATAGGCATAGGAAAAACTGCTCCCGCTTTATCCTTTGGTGCTCTTACTGTCCTCGGACTTGGATGAGGGTGTCTGCCACTGTCTCTGAGAAGGTCAGGGAAAAGAGTGACCTCAGATCACAGAGCTCAGATGCAGTCTTCTGGAACCTGCTGCCTGCTCTGGAGGGAACGTGGACGGGGGTCTCCGCAGGTTAGCACATGGCTCCAGCCTTCAGACGTGAGAGAGGGCCTGATCCAAGCCTCTTTTTTTTTTTAAATCTCCGAGGTTGTTGGTACAAGTTGATAGTTTAAAGTTTAAAGTTATCCAGAGCTTATCACTGAGTGTTTGCCCCCAGACGTGGGCACTGATACAGTTTTCATCCCTCTCCCTTGCGAGCTCTTTGAAGCTGCATGTTTTTTTCTTTTCGTTTGCTCAAACTTTTTTTTTTAGAAAAATATCAAGTGTATAGAAAAGTTGAAAGAGTAGTACAGTGAAACCCACATACCTTCCAACTGGGTTCACCAGTCATTACCATCTTGCCACATTTGTAAACCTGTGTTTTCTAACTTTTGTCCTGGAAGGATACGTGGGCCTCCAGTCTCTAAAACGCTTTGTTTCATAGGTATGGGTCCACCTCTACCTTACCCTGCGCCACTTTTCATAGAGGGTGGGCAAGAAGGAAATGAAGGCAGGGAGAGCCCAGCAATGACATCAAGTTAGGATCCAAGCAATCTGACGCAGAAAATTCCATCTCCCTCTCTGTTTCCCATGTCTTTGTCCTTTGGATGGAGTTCACCGTGAGGACAAGTTGATGTTGCACTAGTTTTATCTGACTTGAATGGTGTCCACCACCGGCCAGGCTGATTCCTTCATGAGTTGGCCTGGGTGGGTCTGCCGGAAGGGCCCTCTTTGTTTGCCTGGAGGATCTAGTCCATAGGTTAAGAGTCCCACCTGTTTTCCTGACACTTACTTTGCCACATGGCTCGCCAAGCCAAATTTTGCTTAGACAATACTTGTCTTGTTACCCCAGTGACCAGATTACTCATTTATTCTATGTTGAGTTCCCTTAAAGGCAGGTTAGTAGGTTGGGAATATTCTTTTGCTCTTCATGGGAAACTTATTTTCTTTCTTTCTGGTTAGAGCTTTAACTCATTTTTTTTAAATGTTATTCTCTCAGATATTTTTCTTTCACTGATGAGATTGTGCATTCAGCAAATAGTTATTAAGAAAGTCTTTATTGGCTGGAGTACACAGAACATTCTACTTCCTCATATAACTTTTACTTCCTCAAGTGACTCTGTAGTGATATTAATAGTGCCTCTGCTGGTCGTGTCTTCTTTGGACTGGGCACATTTTGTATCCAGTTACCATTGACTGTTGTGACAGCCGTCATTATGTATTGAAGTTGTAGGTGTGTGTTTAAGTCCCACGTAAGTCAGAATTATGAATGCTGATAAGTGCCCAAGTGCGTATGTAGTTCAGCTCTCCTACAGGTGGATGAACATTCAAATTCTTTAGGTCACTGATTCCCTCTCTTTCCTCTTCATGACCCTAAATTGGAAGTAATGAGGCTTTGAAGTACTAATGCACTAGAATTAAATTCTTGAAGGTAGAGACTTGAGTCATTGCTGTATCTCCAGCGTCTGCAGTAGTGGTATCTTATGTAGCAGCTTCTCTGTAAATATCTGTCAAGTGAATGACCTAAATCCCAAAGGAAATTAAAATAAGTAAAAAAAAAAAAAGTTCATAGATAATAAACAGTCCCAGGTCAAACGCCCATTCCTCCGCTCATCGGCACTGTGATTTTAGGCACGTTACCTAGTTTTTGAGAACATCTGTTTTATTGGCTATAGAATGGGACTATCACTTGCCTCATTAGAATTGTTACGAGGATCAAATGAGGTGCTGTACCAACAGCTGCCAGCACAGTGTCTCCTGCCCCTAGCATCATGTGCCGCTAGCACATGTTTGTTCCATTCTCAGTTCCTTCCTCCTCTGGATTTGGATTAATAGCATCCCTTTTGAAAAACCTCAGTCACCCTGATTTGGGATCTGGTAAGCCAGGCTGCTGGTTCCCTTGTTGAAACTTCCCTTCCTGGAAATGGTTACCTTTCAGACCTGTTCCTGTGTCAGTCACTTTTTGGAGGCAATCACATCCCCTGGTATTGTGGTTGCGGAGGTTGTTGATAAGCTTGTATTTTACTTTCATTCCCATTTCTGATTTGTGTACAAGATTTATCACATTTATTTCTTTTGCAAGGATCTCCCCACTGAGAGTTCAAAAGCTTTTCTTGGAGCTCATCTAATATAACTCTTTTGTATTCTGAAACATTTCCTGAGCATATTTTGTTCCAGTTTGTTCCAAGTGCTGGCCTCATGTTTCCTTTGTTGGAGTTGCCACTGCTGTTCTCTGCTGAGTCGACTTCAGATAAGGGGCAGAGCCACACCCTTGACCACGGGGTCCAGAATTCATAATCTTCTCTTCTGGATTAAACCTGTTTTAACATAAAACCTCTTCTGCACCACTAACCTTACAGAGATGCCTACTCAGAGCAGCATCAAGATAATAGAAAAGATTTTTCCAATGAACTTTATATTGGCCAAGAAGATACTACAGAGTACACATGAGAAAATGAGCAGTTGCCTGGTGAGCATGTGCCAGGACATGCTAGACATATTAGACAAATTCTTTTTTTTTTTTTTTTTAAGATTTTATTTATTTGAGAGAGCGCATGAGTGAGCACGAGTGGCGGCGGGGGGTGGGGGGGGCGTTGGCGTGGGCAGAAGGAGAGGGAGAAGCAGACTTCCCGCCGAGTAGGGAGTCCGATGTGGCCTGAGCCGCATGACCTGAGGTGAAGGCAGGTGCTTAACTGACTGAGCCACCCAGGCATCCCTAGACAAATTCTCTTGTGCTCGTAAAAGATCAGGAGACAGGTACAGATGCAGCCGGAAATGATCTGGATTTCCATATAACCCTAAAATAGCTCAAGGAAGTTACATCTAAGTGGACTCTATTTAAACAGTCTTGCTCATTATCCTTTGGAAAATATTGGAGTGTGTTTCCTTTTGCCAGCAGAGGTACAAACTCCTGAAACAAGGTTGAGGGACAGATGGACACATGCCCATGTCTCCACCATCTGATGGGGACCTGCCTGTGCCTTGGCCAGCTGGGTGATCCCAGTTGTGTGATCTCATGGCCTTATTGGGTCTTCAGTCTGAGTCGATCTTCCTTGGTTCTCCGGATTGCCAGTTCACTGTGGTGACTGACCATCTTGTCCTCTGAACCTTCAGGAACCCCACTCCCCATCTCATCTGTGCTGCATTCTCAGAGTCACCATCTCTGTTCCTGTTGGAGCTCCTCCTCTCAGGCAGCAGTATGTCAACATTAAAAAGCAGAGAGGGTTTCAAAGAGAATACAGGGCTTTAGGGAAAAGAACTTCATCTATGAATCAGAAAATTGGCCTCTCTATTTAGTGTTTCTGTCTAATTGTGGATTTATAATACAGGAGGATTACCTGATCTCAGAAATTCAGATCATTGGTATATAAAGTATGTTGGAAAGCATAAGTGAACTTTGTAATAATAGAAGAAAACTGCCTTTCGGTCCTGGCTTCTCCATGTTCCCAGCTCTGTCACCTTGGGCAAGGACCTTTTGGTCTGTTTATTTTTTCATTTCTTCTCTATGGAAAACTGGTAATTTTCTGGGCCTACATGTCCTCAACTTTAAAATGAAGGGGTTGAGCTAGGTGGTCTCTAAGGTCCCTTCTAACTAAATATTTCATTTTTATTATTCAGGGGGCTGGTTTTCAGAATGGGCACTCCAGAATGTCTTTGACACCCTCTCCACTGTCCCAGCCTGACCGCGTGCCTGGTGTCTCTCACCTCTCCCCTAATGTGTCATCTTCCACCAGAGTTTTGTCTAGATGCTTTCTGTTCATTCCTGCTCCATCCCCTTTGTCCTTGTCTGCACCTGGGCTGACTGCCCACTGCTTTCCAGTATTCTGTTTGCCAGGCTGTTCTCACGACATCTTTATCAACCATATTCTCTCCAAAGTCTGTGTATTCAACCCTGAGCTCTATCGTCAACTCCATACCCATGTCTGTGTACTTCTCCCAAAGTCATTACCAAATGGAAGTCCTAGATTTCTTCCTTAAGCCAGATCCTTTCCCAGCATCCCTTTGTTGTGTCACCAGCCCATCTTCCCATCGGCAACCCAGACATGAATCTCGTCTCTTAGAACCTGCCCTCTTCCTGCTCCATACCCTCTCATTTAAAGGCTCCAGATCCTTTCAGCCCTCCTTTGTGTCACATATCCCGTTTTTCCTCTCTGTTCCCACTGCCTGCTCTATGTCAGTGTCCGAGCAAATCACTGTCATGATCCCTCACCCGGCCTCCCTAGCCCCATCTTACTCACCCATCTTCCATGCTTTTGAAGAGGACACTTTTATCATAATCCTTCAAGGCCAGACCTCTTCACCTCACTTTCTCTCAATCCACTGTTGCCAACTTAGCATCTATATGGCTCTCAAAACCCCCTTAATCAACCTCCTGCTACCCTTCGTACATGGCCGCTCTCTTTAGAATGCTGCTCCTACACCTCCCCCGCGACCCTAAGCCTTCCTGTCTTCCAGGACACGGC